ATATATATGCGTATGTATATATATATATATATATATATATATATATATATATATATATATATATATATATATATATATATACACACACACACACACACACGTATATGTATATATATACATTTATTTAGAAAATAAATAAAATATGTAAATAAAATACCACTCAGCATTTTTTCTTGAGTTGTTACAGGATTATGGGGAAAAAAAAGCAGTACACAATTACAATAATTGATTGATTTCAGGGACTGTGTGTGTGTGTGTATGTGCGTGGGGACCTCGACGGACACACAGTACTGTGAATATTAAGTTACAGTCCTGTACATCTTTACCGTAAAGGTATATACACAACAAATCTGGGAACACGGTCAAATCATGCACTTTTTTTTTTCCTTTTCAAACTTAAAAAGATGCAGTTCAGCAACGACAACATGATAAAAGGAAGTTGTGTACTATTACACATATGTTCTTTTTTTTTTACTTTTATAATGCTTTTACACAAAACTGAAATTGTCACAAAACATTTAGTGAAACCCAAATGATCGGACTGACTACAATGCGGGGACAAACGAAAACATACACAAAGACAACAGATTTTTAAAGTGAAGGAGTTGAACTGAAATAAAAAATATAATGACGGTTGCTTGAACACATTTGGGTCGGATGAATACGACAGGAGCCATTGGCACACACACACACTTGTGATCAAAAAACGGTGCAGGATTTAAAAAGAGTGACACAGAAAAAAAGACGAGACGACTTTCTCTCCTTCCTACCGGCTGTTTTCCCCCTTCCTGTCTCTCCCCCTTCACATATGCTTATAAGCAGCCAATACAGACGTAAACACACACGCACACACACGAGCAGCCTGAAATCAGTGCTCTGACTTTGATGAGTTCCAGTAATTCAAACATCTCATACACTGGGAAGTCTGGGGGTCAAAGGCGTGCGCCAAAGATTTGGAAGAACAGCTTTAGTAAAAATAAAAACACTGACAACACGATGACTCCTCCCTTCGACTCTGCTTCTGTCATAAAGGAAACTTTATGTTTTAAAAATAAGCGACAACACCAGGCTCCGTGTTGTTGGATCTGATTATAGCTGCACAGTTTTCAGTTGAGAAGTCACAAACATCATATATGTTTATATACACATACAAGTGTATGATATATTTATAGATCTATATTTTCACTGTAGTGCCCACCAACTTCACTACAAATGTGTTTGAGCCAGAGGTGGTGGAACTGGTGTGTGGAATCTTTACACGAAACAAAAGTAAAAGTGGGGAATTGCAGGAATGAGGGGCCATCCTGCTTCCATGTTTGGAGTTCCCAAAAATCGGTGCTCCTATAACACACGTCACCTACTACAAAACAGTTCGAGTGTGTCTGTGTGAGGAGTTGACAGGAAGTGGACGGACAGCTGAGCGCCTCAGCTCCTGAAGGTGCAGGAAGTTTCGTGGGGAGAGGGAGAGCAGAAAGGACTAGTTGTTCTCAAAAAGAGAGAGCAGGTCATCGTTGCTGTTGGCGGGAAGGTCCGGGGGGTCCAGATACGAGAGTAACTCTTCTGGGTTGGCCAGCTCTGGAAGCAGCTGTGGATGAGGGGGAGAGGAAGCAGGAACAGATGAGACAAACTGAAGCCAGAGAATAAACATCCATCCAGAAGGTCGACTAACATTTTCCAAAGGCTGATTCTGATCTTTAAAAATCAAGACGGCTGATGGATGACTTGTGGAGCTTATCTGATTGTTCTTTTTTAGACACATTACATAACAATTTCCCATTATAACTTACAGGTGCTGGACAAAAAATTAGAATATCATGAAAAAGTTGATTTATTTCAGTAATTCCATTTTAAAAAATGAAACTTTTATATTATATTCATTCATTACACACAGACTGATATATTTCAAATGTTTATTTCTTTTAATGTTGATTATAACTGACAACTAATGAAAACCCCAAATTCAGTATCTCAGAAAATTTGAACATTGTGAAAAGGTTCAATATTGAAGACATCTGATGTCACACTCTAATCAGCTAATTAACTCAAAACACCTGCAAAGGCCTTTAAATGGTCTCAGTCTAATTCTGTAGGCTACACAATCATGGGGAAGACTGTTGACTTGACAGTTGTCCAAAAGACGACCATTGACACCTTGCACAAGGAGGGCAAGACACAAAAGGTCATTGCTAAAGAGGCTGGCTGTTCACAGAGCTCTGTGTCCAAGCACATTAATAAAGAGGAGAAGGGAAAGAAAAGATGTGGTAGAAAAAAAGTGTCCAAGCAATAAGGATAACCGCACCCTGGAGAGGATTGTGAAACAAAACCCATTCCATAATGTGGGGGAGATTCACAAAGAGCAGACTGCAGCTGGAGTCAGTGCTTCAAGAACCACCACGCACAGACATATGCAAGACATGGGGTTCAGCTGTCACATTCCTTGTGTCAAGCCACTCTTGAACAAGAGACAGCGTCAGACGTGTCTCACCTGGGACTGCTGCTGAGTGGTTCAAAGTCATGTTCTTGGATGATGTAAATGTTGCATTTCCTTTGGAAATCAAGGTCCCAAAGTCTGGAGGAAGAGAGGAGAGGCACAGAATCCATGTTGCTTGAGGTCCAGTTTCCACAGTCAGTGATGGTTTGGGGTGCCATGACATCTGCTGGTGTTGGTCCACTGTGTTTTCTGAGGTCCAAGGTCAACGCAGCATCTACCAGGAGGTTTAAGAGCACTTAATGCTTCCTGCTGCTGACTAATGTTATGGAGATGCAGATTTCATTTTCCAACAGGACTTGGCACCTGCACACAGTGTCAAAGCTACCAGTACCTGGCTTAAGGACCATGGTGTCCCTGCTCTTAATTGGCCAGCAAACTCGCCTGAACTTAACCCCACATAAAATCTATGGGGCATTGTGAAGAGGAAGATGTGATATGCCAGACCCAACAATTCAGAAGAGCTGAAGGCCACTATCAGAGCAACCTGGGCTCTCATAACACCTGAGTAGTGCCACAGACTGATCGACTCCATGCCACGCTGCATTGCTGCAGTAATCCAGGCAAAAGGAGCAACAACTAAGTATTGAGTGACGCACATGTTCATACTTTTCAGTTGGTCAACATTTCTAAAAAATCTTTTTTTTTATTGATCTTAAGTAATGTTCTAATTTTCTGAGATACTAAATTTGGGGTTTACATTAGTTGTCAGATATAATCATCAACATTAAAATAAACATTTGAAATAGTCTGTATGTAATGAATGAATATAATATACAAGTTTCACTTTTTGAATGGAATTACTGAAATAAATCAACGTTTTCATGATATTCTAATTTTATGACCAGCACCTCTATTAATATAAGTAAAATAGCGATTGTCTGATTTAGCTTTTGTTGCCCAAAGTGGATCAGAACCTATTCCTCGTTGTACTACAGGTTAAGCATAAAGTTATTGTTTTCTCCCAAAATCCAATCTTACCAATTAAAAAAAAACAAGTTTCTTAAAGATATGATTTAAAGTCTTTCCATTTTCTTTGATAAATACCATTTTGATCAAAATGTGTAATGACATTTTCCAACCACAGATATGTCTGCCTTTTATTCAGCTTGGTACACCCAGATGTGCCAATACAAATTATTTTAAAATGGCTATGACTACTCTAAATAAAAGTCGGACCGATCAGTCCGTCAACCTCTAACTGCTCATCAGACGCAGTATGAACGTCAGACACCATCAGAGCACACAGCGAAGAGACGAGAGCAGCTTCAGCAGACGATGTTAGCAAGTTAACATGTAGCTTATGGCGCTCAAAGCAGACACACTTACATCCAGGGAGGGTTCAGGCATATCCTGGGCTCCCTGACCCAGCTGCCCATCTGAGGAGGGGTTAAAGTTCAGATCGCTGTGGGGGTGACTGTTCTGCCCAGGATGCTGAGGCTGCGGCTGGCGAGGCGGCTGCGATGACTGCCCACTGTGATGCAAAGGCTGCCCTGACTGGCCGCTGTGATGCAAGGGTGGCCCTGATTGGCTGCCAGGGTGAGGAGACGCATGCAAGCTCTGCTGCATGGAGTTATGGGACTGATCTGAATGGGACATCTGCAGGTGCGAGACGCAAACAGAAAGCGAGGGAGGGGGGAAAAGGTAAGACACAGAGGAGAGAGCGTTAAGGAGAAGGGGGCGGAGGGATGAGTTCCAGTGTACATAATATGGAACAGGTCTTCTGAATGGAAGCTGTGATCAGCAGACATGCAGCTGCAACAGTTTATGGTGACATAAGCATGTGAGTGAGCACACATGCTGCTGGAGGCGCAGGCTGCACCGTGCTCAGATAACAGATCTGTGGTTTCACGTCAACACTCTGTCTGAGAACTTTATTTTTCGAACTCGGTAACACAGCGACGCTGCAGGGCTAATGAAGCAGCAGACTCGCATGTCGGAACAAGTCCGATCTCAGTTTAGGCAAAGCGAATACATAAAGTTTGGTTTGTCACAGTGACTTAGATCTACTTACTGTATCATTCATGCTGTGGCTGAGGGGCTTGTCCTGGGAGAGAAGACCACCAGGTCCATCAGGTGGGTGGGACAGCTGAGGACCATGGATGAAATCGTTCATAGGAGCCCCTCCACCTCCTCCTCCTCCAACCCCCCCACCACCAGAGGGGTTCCCGTTGGGAAAGTCAAAGCCCACTTGGCTGTGGTAGCTGTTGCCTTCAGGGAGAAGAGGAAACATTTCAGACGTGACATGTGCTGCTGCACAAATCGAAATGTTGTAATATTAGTCACTATTTTTTTACACTTGACAAATGTTTAGACTAACTATAAAGAACATATAATAAATACTTCATGATGTTTTGGTTTTTAAATAATTAAGGGCCATGTCTATATTTAAAGTTGTGACATTTCAAAACAGCTTTCTTTTAAACACATCTGTTGGTCCTGTTGTGAAAAGGCACTCAGGTTCTGAGCTGACTTTTTAGTACCTGCTCCGGGGTATTCTCCACCATTGCCGCTAGGATGCTGACCAGGGTGAGGATGGTAGGGACTTGGACCCGGTCCGGGGCCCGGCCCAGGTCCTGGGCCTGAACCAGGACCTAACTGAGCGATCATCTCCATCACATTGGGCATGGTCATCTGACTTGGACTCATGGTCTTAAAGCGCTTGGCCAGAGGTCCGTCAGGGTCCTCTTTGATGTGGAGCTCAGACTTGATAGGAACAGGTCTCCAGCTACATGTCGGGTCTATAGTGACCTCCTCAAATTCAGAACTATGGGAGGAGACATTAGATGATTTAGTTTTTTTTTTATTTTAATTACCGTAATTTCCGCTTTACAAGTCCCACAGCCATATAAGTCGCATCATTCCAAAAATGTCTAATAAAATGGAAAAAAAAAAACATAAATAAGTTGCTTCGCTGTATAAGTCACATCTATTATGAGTACGCTGACGTGTCGCGTTTGTTTTGCGTCACCGCTGACCACACGGAAACGTGGGCCAGTGTTGTGCCAAAAATCGATTGGCTGCCAAAATGGTGGCCGCGGGAGCATGCACGAGAGGACTTTAACAAGAATTTAACAAGACTAAAAGTTAAAAACAATTATCTGTTTGCTCAACATTAGGTGTGTCTCAGTTAAACTTTTACTTAATAAATGCACTTTAATGGTCAAATCAGCTGCATTTCGCCTGGGCAGTGTGGCAAAATGCAGCTGATTTGACGTTTGCTCCAGGAGTTCCAGAGCGAGACGAAGGTGGATTTGTATGGCAAGCCAAGTCTCTCATTGATAGCCACTTTTACCTATTAGTGAGACACATGGTTTGCCATATTACTCGAGTGCCCTCTACTGGCTGAAAATGGTAGTGGTCAATATTTTCTATGTCAGAATGAATTAAGTCATCAGATCTCAGCCAAAAACTGGATTATAAATATGGGAAAAAAAATGTATATTAGACGCTTCGGTGCATAAGTTGCAAAACTTGCACATTTATGCAAAAAGGTGTGACTTATAGTCCGGAAAATGCGGTACTCAAATGACTCATGGGTTCGTTTTGTAGGTGTCAAAAACGAAACTTACTTTTGGATAGCGTTAAGGATTCCCCACATGAACTGGTCCACCTCCAGGCCTTCTAATAAAGCTGTTTTACTAAAGGCAAATAAAATACAACTAGTTAGGATCATTCTTGAGCATGCATCAGGATATCATTCTTACTATTAATCCCATTTTTATACCCTCAAAAGAAGGTGTTGCTTACTTGCACACAGGACACCTCCATGTCCCCCTCTCACAGTTGAGCTGCAGGTAAGACTCCAGATCGAAGCACTGAAGAAGGTGACATCATGAAGCCTCATTAAAACATTGCACCTTCTGTCATTACTTTTAGCTGCTGCTTAAAGCTGAAACTTACCTGCACATGTTTGCAGTCGTGCCCTCGAGCGGGTAGCTGGATGCGACGGAAGGTAATGGGACATTTCAGCGACACTTTGATGGCTGTCTGCTCCACGCCGTCCTCTCCGTTGAGAGTGGAGTTTCCTGCCGAGGCAGCCACGCTGCTGAAGTTCCTCTTTACTGAAGATGGAAACAATGTTCAAACAGGGGTTCTTTGACAACATTTTAAAGCACTGACATAATTAAAAGCAGGTGTGAGCTTACAGAACTAAGATTTACACATTAACCACACCGAGAGACAAAAAACGAGCCGTACTCTTGGTTATGCAGTGTTCTGCAGGAAGGAGCCTCTTCTTTAGGAGCCCCTGGAGGACGGAGCGCACAGATGGCCTGTGGACCAGCTGAAGCACAAACAGGTGGGACTGCAAGCAACACAAGGGGAGAAACACACAGAGTTAGCACAGACAGCTTAACTGTGTCTAATCTGCAAAAATACTTGAAATAAATTAGATCTGTGCATTTCAGCTCTGTCTGCAGTGAGACTAATCTGTGCATACTATTTTCCGCCGTACACGCAGAATGCCCTATAAGTCGCATCAGTCCATATTTGCCTAATAAAGTGGAAAAATCCATAAATGCATCGCTTCACTGTATACGTCTCATCTATTACGCGTCACCGCTGACAACCCGGAAACGTGGGCTGGTGTTGTGCCAAAAATTAATGGGCTGGCAAATGGCGGCCGCGGGGCGTGCACGGGAGGACTCTAACAAGAGTAAAACTTAAAAACAATTATCTGTTTGCTCAGAATTATAGTGAAGGTGTGTCTCAGTCTAACATTTGCTTAATAAATGTACTTTGACGGTCAAATCAGCTGCATTTCAAAACCCGATTCATGTAAGCGGGCACGTGCAAAGGTACGAGCCGCTGTGCATTTCTTAGAAATTTAACAAGATAAACACCTAAAACATTTATTTGTGTGCTCAACTTTATAGTAAAGGTGTGTCTCAGTCTAACATTTGCTTAATAAAAGGACTTTAATGGTCAAATCAGCTGTATTTCAAAAGTATTTGGTTCCTCGGTGCTCCGGGAGCACGCAGACAGGGAGGAAAAAAGGAGGAACGCTGCGTGTTTCTTCGAAATTTAACAAGATAAGTACCTAAAACAATTATTTGTTTGCTCGACATTATAGTAAAGTTGTGTTCAAATGTTCAACTTTTTTTTGTCAGAATGAATGAAAATGGTCATATCTCAGCCAAAAATTGGTTTATAAATACAAACCGGATTCCAAAAAAGTTGGGACACTAAACAAATTGTGAATAAAAACTGAATGCAATGATGTGGAGATGGCAAATGTCAATATTTTATTTGTATATTTTTATTCGTATATTTTATTCGTATTCGTACCATTTATGTAGTATGTCAGGACAGCTTTGCTGTGGACACACGGGCCACCATTTATGTTATTTAAAACACGTACGGGCCAACATTTATGTAGTGAGCTAAGGTGCTAACTTCACTACTAATTAATTATTCATAAAGCTAGTTCAAGCACAAAGAATATTAATTGTTTAATTACAACGGATTCTTTCTTTTCGAGTTAAATTTCTGCCATGTGACCGAGATAACTTGCGAGTGGAGTGGACCACATAGATGACAGATCAAAAGTTTAATCTGAGTAAATGTACATTTTAAAGGAAAAATATGTTGATTCAAAATTTCACAGTGTCAACAAATCCCAAAAAAGTTGGGACAAGTAGCAATAAGTGGCTGGAAAAAGGAAATTGGGCATATAACAAACAGCTGGAAGAACAATTAACACTAATTAGGTCAATTGACAACATGATTGGGTATAAAAAGAGCTTCTCAGAGTGTCAGTGTCTCTCAGAAGCCAAGATGGTAAGAGGATCACCAATTCCACCATTGTTGCGCAGAAAGATAGTGCAGCAATACCAGAATGGTGTTACCCAGCGTAATATAGCAAAGATTTTTAAGTTATCATCATCAACCGTGCATAACATCATCAAAAGATTCAGAGAATCTGGAACAATCGCTGTGCGTAAGGGTCAAGGCCGTAAAAC